GGTTTTCTTTTAGGGGGGGGGGGGGGGTATGCCCTGCTACAGTACATGCTTATATAGAGACAGCAATTTTGGAACCATACAGTCCTGATGTAGTAAATACCACTCAGAAGGGAGTCCATCCAGGCCAGGGGTTTTTGTTTTTGGGGAATGGAGAGAGAGCATGTTCAATTTCTTCTGCTGATGTATCTGAGGTTAAAAATTACCCATGTTCTCAGGAAATTTAGGGAAGTGGGATAGAATGTAAATAACATATGAGATCCTCAGACTTGCAGTGAGCATGAGTTTCATTAAGTTTACTATACAATTGGAAGAATACTTTCATGATGCCCTTGTTGGAGGTTTGTATAGTTTGTTGAACATCCTAGGTTGTGGATATAGAGTAAGGAACCTATTCTGGTTTGGCAAAAATGTCAAAAGATTACCATTTTTTCACCAACATTCAAAAATGTTGTACTTGGCATAAGTAGAGACAAAGATCACCAGCACTCAGCGATATCTTTCAATATGTTCATTTAATTGGACAAAGTGTCACAGTAAAAAAAGCCAACGTTTCGGGGCCACATAGGGTCCCCTCATCAGGACGAAATTACAAATTATCTGCAAAGTACCTCCCCGTGACATCATCATGGCGGGAAATCCGCCATGTTTAAATGAACAATGAATAACATAGCAATCGTAATGTGCCGTATAAGAGCTTTTTCTGAGTTCCTTCATTAAATGCAAGGTCATATACATAATGACAGGCTTTCCATTGCTGGAAGTTATTTGGAAACTGGTTCTGAGTATAATTTATTTCTGCATTTAAGACTGCCTGCCCTAAGGAATGTATCTTTTACCCATTAGCGTTCTGGATGGTACAAACAGCAGACAAAAAAGATGCCCACATAGTGGTCTTAAAAACCTCCCGTGCCCTCAAATGTTTCCTCCCCATTGTCCACACCATATTCACAAAGTGATTAGCCTCTTTACCTTTAGTACATCACCCCCTTTGAGTGGTCAGGATAAGGCATAATACCTAAGAAATCAAAACCATTGTTCAACCAACAATACTTAAACAGTTTTGCAGTGTAGGAAAAAAGTACAAAAAGTAAAAACACACCATATGGTAGAATGTGATATGTTTATTGTCTGGGATTAAATTAGGGGGAACAATGTGATTATAGTTATACGAAGTATCTGTGCATTGTTACTACTTACACTAGTTTTTCAGTAAGGCTATTTTATTTTATTTATTTAAATACGTTCAACCAGAATTGCCCATGCAGATTTCAGACAGGTGCACTTTAAAAAGTGAATGTAAAGCCAAAACATTTATTTCAGTTTGATGTAGAGTGTTGAAGGATTAGAGCACCTCTCAGGTTATTATTGCTGTCTGTGCCCCTGCTGAGCAGATTCGCCCTCATCATTGGTCCTGGTGATCATTGCCTCTGGAAAGTGATTGGGAAATATAACATTTTTGAGTTATCACAGCAAGAGGAAGTGTCATCTTGTGAAAGGAGGCCACAGTGTCTCTGAAATGTCTGGGGTTTTGTATCTTTTTCTTATTTTGTATTCTTTTGTGTCTGCACAACATTGGTATTGCAACTTAGACCTCAGAAAATGACAAGGTCTGAACTTTAGGGGCTTTACACATGGCAATAGTGCACCTCGATGGCACTGACAAGTACAGGAAATACCTATACTTGCAATTTTATAAATAAAGCCCTAAGTGTGCTGGCCATTGGGGATGTGCAAAGGCTTGGTGTGAACTGAGTTCACCTGAGCCCACACAAAACTATCAGCAATACATACCCCTCCCAGCCAACAAGCTGTGACCGAGTCATTTACCCCTACAGCTAAACGTAGCCCTGCCCCAGCTGCTTGGGCCATGAGGCAGGTGTGTTACTGACAGTTTTGTGCAGACTTGGGAGAAATCATATCATACCAAGCCCCATGCACTTTTCTGTTGAACATTTGTTCTCTTGGTTTTTCATGGTGTCACTGTAGTCCATGCACCCTCTTGTTGGTGTTAAAGGTGAGGGTGCAGAATGTATTTGCATCAAGGGAATAAAACCAAACAGGCATTTTTGCACTTATCTACTCTAATCCAATACTAAAAACTAAAAATGCTAGTACTAATTGGCCAAAAGGAGGCAAAGTAAAGATTTCAGATTTGTTCTCCACACAAAATGCTAAATTTACTAACAATTATTACTTGACGTAAAGGTTAATATTTTCAGGAACGACCACCAATGAGCTGACAATAACAGTCACACAGCTGAATAACTGTGCCATTTAACATATGCATTACCGCTTAGTGATCCAAGCATATGGACAGTTCCCACGTCTTTATGATGATTTGCAAGATTGATAGATTAGGATGGCAATGGGCGACCATAGAAGGAACTCCTCCAGTGAATGAAAACTCAGGAACCTTTGCTTCATCTCTGACCTTCAGAATTGATCTGTACAAAAGGTTATTATCTCTAATTTTCCTCTGGAATGACGAAAAAATGATGGTTGGTAAAGTTGCACCTCAAGTAAATTATACAGGTATATGAGATGGTGCCAATCTCATTCTTTTGAGAAGCCCTCAGTATTCATATTTTGGAAGTTAAATAGTTATGCAATGAAGGTTCATAGGATATTCAAGTTGGAGGTACATGTGGTGCAGTTATCTGTGTTATGCCCTGCGTTTTTCCTTAGCACGCACTAGAGTGTAGATGCCAGAAGCTGCTGATAATTTGACAGCCAAAGATCTCATCTGTGTTTCCAAGCTCCTGTCAGAAGAAATATGTGACCCCATTTATCAGTTCACCAGAGCTTTGGGTATCAACACACATCTCAGAAGATGTAACAAATGCCCTAAAAAATCCCTGCTTGCTTACACCACCTCCCATCCTGTGTAAGGTGTGGAAGAGTTTAGTACAATATTTTTCAAGTGTGGTTCACTTTTTGTGAAACTCTAATTTTTTTCTGAACTGGCTAGATGCTGAAGTAGATTGAACAAGCTGCCAGATGACTGACCTGCCATTTTGTACCTTGTTTGGTTGATTACCAGCTGCAAAAAAACTTATTTTAAAAAAATTGTTGCCACTTTAATTGTATATGATCCCAATTTTCTACTACCAAAATTTGACTGAATTAGATGTTATCTTTTCAAAAGCTTTCTTAAACTCTTTGTTCCTAAAAGTGTATATGATCGGATTAAGAAATGGAGTAATTACAGTGTAAAATAGAGAGAGGAGCTTGCTCATAATGTGCATTTGTCCATTCTTTGGAAACAAATATACAAATATTATAGTTCCATAAAATATAAACACCACACTCAGGTGATAACTGCAGGTGCTGAAGGCTTTCTGTCTCCCTGTGACAGATGGGATCTTTAGAACAGTTACAGCTATATAGATATAAGATATAACAATGATTAAAAAAGGAATTGCAACGAAAAGGAAAGCCATTATGAATGTCTCAACATGAATCCATGAGGTATCGGAGCAAGAAAGCTTAAGTATGGGTTCAAAGTCACAATAGAAATGGTCAATGACATTTGGTCCACAGTAATGTAGAGTGCTCATAGATAAAGGATTGATCAATGTTATTTTAAAAGCTAATAACCAGATAATCAGCACAGATTTTATGCAAAACCTTTGGTTTATTATAGAGCTGTAACGCAAAGGGTTGTAAATGGCCAAATACCGATCATAGGACATCACAGCCAGTAGAAGACACTCACAAGTCTCAGTAGTTGTAAAGAAGGAAAACTGGAGGATGCATTCGGTGAGAGACATAGTACAGCCACCATATAGTACAATATAAAGAAGGTTGGGAAGAATAACTGTGCTCAACATTACATCTAACAATGACAATTGTGAAATAAAGAAGTACATGGGAGACTGAAGGCTTTTACTTAGTAGACTCAAAGTCATGACAAGAAGGTTTCCGCAAATGGTCATGCAGTATATGAGAAACAGAATCATGAAAAGCAGAACTTTGATATTTTTAAGATTTGGGAATCCCATAAGGACAACAGAGGTGATGTTATTCTGGTAGACCACCTAATAGGAGAGTAAACATATGAAAACGGTAACTTTCATTGATACCTGTAAGACGTAATGAAGCAAGGGACTAATATTGCAATATTTTGCTTAAATATATGTTCATGTAAAATCATTTCAGATGTAACATGTGGTAAAAGGGCTTATGGTGAAGGGCTTTGCTTTTGTTCCCATCGGAACGGCTTCCCTCCTCATACAAGTCAAGGGCAACACAAAAGCAGCTTAAAGCAGGTTGATACAGAAGGAGATCAACTGCAGAGCAAATGCACCTGTCAGTAAATTATCCCTGAAGTGTCTCAATTTGATAAAGACTGCAGGCAGAATGCACCTGGAAGAAAGCTCCATCTGTCCATATAATAATAACATAAATGTAATTAAACTATAGCAATATTTATTATAGGATTATACTTATAATCCTGCCAAAAAGGATTTGCAGCCTGACAATTCAGTGTACTGTTGAGGTGGTAGTTGATTGTAGATTGTATGGATGTTATGAAGCAAGTCTTCACCCCCAGTGTTTCTTACAGTATCCATTCATGCTTCTGTGTTCTCAATTATCTCTTAACGCTATATAAAATTTGTTGCATACCATATTTCCATGTGTGTTGACAAAGAGGATGTCTGGATACAATAGTCTGCTTTGAGAAACCAGGCCAGCTTTTATTGGATTAACCAAAATAAATAATATATACTTCTGAGATTATTTGTCTCAAATGTATCTGGAGCCAATGACATTGGTTTTATATTTTTACATTTGCTTTTCTGCTAAATAATTTACTTCGCTAATTAATCAACTGAGAAATTAACGTTCCAGCTCTATAATTCATTAGCTGGGACACAGCAATAAAAATAGAAACAAAATGACAAATGTTCTAACCCCATTCCAGTCTATCCAACATTTTGGATATACTTTGAGGGCTTGCAAAGTGAATTCAATTGGAATGCTAGGTCTAAGATCAATCACCGTGTACCAATAATTTAAAGAGTAACTCCACTCAGAAGAAATGAAAACAATTCTTAAAAAATTAATATGGTTTATATAATCATTGCACAAAATTATCTTTCCATGTAAACTGTAGCTGCTGTAATGTTTTAGTTCTGTCCAAAAAAAATCCAATGCAATATGGCGACTGTGAGGCATTCAGTACATAGTTGGTGTACAACACTCCCCCAGAAAGGTCACTTTCTGTTTCTGTGATTGGCAGACTGATTTTCCCAGAAGTTTGCACTAAGATACCAGTATAATTTTTAGCATCCTTTGCAACAGAAATTCAATTTTTGGTTAAGGGTTAATTACTACTGATTCAGACACTGCAGTGTAAACCAACTATTTCGCATAAAACTAATTTTTGCCTCTCGGTTGTTGAGCTGTGTTTTTTCATTTTCAGTCATTTCTTTTGTGGCTTTGAACAGCTTCTGAAACTTTAGTTCCAATGTGTCCATGGTTCAAATGGAAGCCAGTGTACTGTCTATTTCTGATATACCTATTCCTTTTATTGTAACAATAGTTTCATATGTGTGTATTGTGGTAACCATATTAAAATGCCATCCTTCTCTGGAGGACTGAACTCTTTTTCTATCTGCAGCTCCCACTTGACAGTTGTGCCTCTGACTGCCATGTTTGTGCTTCCAAATGAAGACCGATTATTAGCAAGACACCAGCAATGTTGTATATTGTGTTAACACCTTTAAAAAAAAAAAAAGAAAAGGTGTGTACATGCAGAAAATATACAGCTGAAAAGAAAAACCAATGCAGCCATCACATCCAAGGACTGGTAAGCTAGAATATATTACATTTATATTAATTAATAGGGTCTCTTTCGCCACGGTTTACTTCATCCAACAAAAATCTTACAGATGGTCAGTTTTCTATTTTATGGGGTCTATTCACGAAGCAGCCGAAGGATCTAGCCGTAGCTTCGGCCGATCCTTAGGCTAACTTCGGCCCCAGGACCCCTTCAGTTCAGTATTCACTATATCCCGTACAGCTCCCGAAGTCGGCCGGGCGGCTCAGTCGAGCCGAAGCCATATGCTTTGGCTCGACTGAGCCAACAGCCTGCTTATGACAGCTGGGCGGAGCCAGCCGTGATCTTACGGCTGGCTCCGGCCACTTGCAGAGAGATCAGCGTCCCTGGTTACCAGCTAACCAGGGACACTGATCTCCAGACAGCAAACTCTCCCGGGCGCTCCGGGAGTCTCCCGCTCCCGGCCGCCCAGGAGAGAAACACTGCTTTTTTTTTTTTATTCTGACACGGAGCCGTTGGCTGGTGTCAGAATAATTAAAAAAAATATTTCACCATAGGAATGCATTGCTAGATTCATAGTTACATAGTTACATAGTATTTGATTTGTTTTACAGTTTTATTAAACCATATTGGTTTAGTTTTTGATCTTATTTCAATTTGCAATAGCCAATAGCAAACTAGCAGTGGGCAGCCGCCCACTGCTGCAGTTCTCCATCAGGTCCCCACTAGTGATTGACAGCAGCAGAGGGCGGGTGCAATAGCTAGTTTGGCTATTGCCAATTGAAATAGCCAATAGGAATCAAGTAATGCATTCCTATGGCAAAAGTTTTTTTTTTCTTTTTTTGACGGCAGCAGAACCGCCGGCCTATAGAAAAGAGTTGGGCGGAGCTAGCTGTCATTGCATCTATAAGAATAGACCGAACAGCAGCGACCCAGATAGCTAATAATTGTTTGAAAATGAAGTTTGGAAATGACTTGCTAAACTATTGCAGACTTGCCGAGCTTCACAATTTTGTTGCACAATTACAGCAAGTCTGCATTGCAAGTCTCCAGACCAGCGAGCTTGCAGAGCTCTTACTAGGACCTGCAGGACTGTTGCTGTAGACTTGCCAAGCAAATTTGCTACAAATTCAAAAAGTGTCACCTAGAACTTGTGCTGCGAGTGTTCTGCAAGTCTACAACTTGCCAGGAATGTGTGCAGCTAAGTTAACAAAATTACAATTTCACCCTGACACAAGTTTGTAGCAAGTTATCCTTGCTATCTGGGGAGTAGCCTGTCAGAGGTTTGGCTTAGCCGATCCAGATGTTGGATTGGCTGAGTCGAACTCCTTCTGCACTTCGGGTCGGCCGAACATGCTGAGCATGTTCGGCTGACCCAACGCCACACGGAGCCACCTGATGTACGGCTGATTTCAGCCGTACCAGCCTGAAGTGAATAGCCGAACAGCATTCGACTCACTTCGCTTTAGGTCGGTCATTCACTCGGCTGCCTACGGCAGCTTAGTGAATAGACCCCTATGTTGTTCAGTTAGGGCCTGTGCCAATTAGCTTTTGTGTGTTTTTTGCTGGTCAAATGTAGGTCAGAAGGAGGTCAATTGCAGGTCAAACGCACCTTGATGAATTCTGAATGAGCTGAAGGATTCCAAACTGCTGTAAAACTGATCATTGACACAAGCCTGTAGCTCTATCTAGGATAGTAAAGACATATCCAGGATCATCAGCAAGATATAATCATCCCTCCCTTCCCTTCCCACCTGTGGTATGTGCTGATTATCCTAGGTGTCCCTTTATTAACCTGGACAGTGTGCAGGAAGAAGATTAAAACAAATGGAGGAAATATCCAGTGGGCCTTGAGGGCATCTTGACATACTTACCACTTAAGCACTAACCTCTGGGTTTTTGCGGTCAAATGATCGGGTAAGCTGCACAGTGTGACATTTGTTGGTTTGTGCCAGATACTGATGTCTGGTCCAATGTATTTTAATTTACACAAGTGAAACACATATTGCAAGCTTGAATGTTTTACTGAAGACACGCCCAATACAGCAAATATTTTCTGAAAGCAAAGTAATATAGGTTCAAATATGTAAGTGCCATTGACCTCCATTTTGAAGTAGCTTACAACATGTCATTTTTTGGGGGTTGCAAGTCTACTAATAAATATGGTGAACAGTCAGTTTGGAAAGGAATACCAAATCACGTGCAAGGAAATAAAAAAAAAACCAACAAAACAGGAATTTTGCTTACACATGATTAAATCATTGCAGTCAACACAGCTTCACCACATTCACTATGCTAAGCAAAAATTACCTCACAAAGTGAAGATTCTCTTAATCAACTCCAAAGTGTTAAACACAATGATTATTTTTAGGTATAAGCACAAAGAGGGTTAGTTTATTCTCAGTTGGATAATTAAATTCTTCACACAGATATGTATATATAGCGGAAGATTATCCACTGCTACAACTATTGAAATGTTAAAGGATTAGGCATCAGTACTGTGAGTACAACATCTCTTTTTTTTGTGTTTACTTACAAAAGGCCAATTCTTATGCAGGAAGCATTGACATTTACTTTTTAATTAATTTCTAAATTCAGTGTTTGGCTGCACAGTTGGGCATTTTTTTAAAGCAAAAAATAAAATGTACTTGAAGTCATCTGGATCACTGAATGAGGACCTTCATTTGCTAATGAGTTATATAATTGTTTTTGAAAAATCACAAGGATTTGGTGTATTGTCTTATGATATCAAGACAGTGTGATATGTGATTATTATGTGAATTTAAATATTGTTTTCCATTTATTATCATTTTAGATTTAGTTATTTTAACCGCTTGAAGACCGGGTGTTTAGACCACCTTCCTGTCCCACCCATTTTTCAGCTCTATAGCCGGTGGATCGCTTGTATGTTAACATGCATCGCTGCCCGTTTTTAAATGTTGCATCTTTCCCGTGTGGGCGGGGCTAACAGGCCGTATATACACAGCCTGTTACATCCAAGAAGCTCCCGGCCGGCTGGGCAAGTACAACGGCCGGCCGGGAGGCAGTTAAAGTGCAGTGCATTTAATGTATACACATTTTCATGATACTTATAGATGATCCTCAAGGATTTTCATTATTTATTAAGAAAATAATTGTCGTTGACTTTTTTAATTTTATAGGTTGTAAAAATCTAAAGTCTAAACCAATGTGCCAACTTTCGTTACACATAATAGAATTAAAATCGCTTAAAAACCACTGGATGTTTTTTAACTGATTTTAATGGTAAATATTTTTGCACTGAAGATTTGATTAATTATGACGCTCCAGAAACTTATTTTTTTAGCTTTCCCTTCATTGGTAGTTCTCTTTTTTTAAATAATCTATTTCCAATACAAGCAGATTAAAGAAAAATGTTAAACATTTTTTTGATTTGTAAATTTATGTTCCAGCTAAGTGTTTTGATTTTTCTTTATATTGTATTCATTGTTTTCACAGTTTATAAGTTTATGAAATCAGGATATGTAATGTATAAACAATGTTCTTTTTTATATAGGTGTTACAATAAAGTCAATGAATGAATGTTCCACCCATTTTTATTTGCACAATACATGGATATTTCACAGTAGACTTTGCTCAAGTTTTATCTAGGTAATGTATACGAGAAACTCAACCACAATTCTGTTTTTGGGTTTCCACAACTTGGATACATTTAATCTAGCTCTCTTCACCTTACTTCTTATTATATACATTGTGACAATCTGTGGAAACCTCTTGATCATTGTGCTGGTGTTCTGCAGCAAGACCCTACACTCGCCTATGTACATCTTCCTTACCCAGCTCTCCATATCTGACATCATGCTGACCACAGATATCAGCCCTAATATGCTAAACATTGTATTGCATGAGCAGACTTCCATATCTTTGTCAAGCTGCATCACCCAGTTTTATTTCTCCTCTTTATCATTAGTGTCTGAATGTTTTATACTCACAGTGATGTCCTATGACCGATATCTTGCCATCTGCACTCCATTGCATTATGCCTCCATTATGAATCCTTCAGTTTGCAGCAAATTCATTTTTGTTTCCTGGTTTTGGGGCTGTTCTCTGGTATTAATGTTAACACTTAGCATATGTCAGCTAGAATTCTGCGGGCCAAGTACAGTTGACCATTTCTTTTGTGATTTAAATGTTCTGGTGCAACTTTCTTGTTCAGATGCATCCATAGTCCAAGCAGAAGGCATCTTGCTAAGCATCCATGTTATAGTCTTACCGTTCCTTGTCATAGTAGTTTCATATACATACATTGTTATGACCATATCAAAGATATTCTCCTTTTCAGGAAGGCTCAAATCCTTTTCCACTTGCAGCTCCCACCTGACAGTTGTGTCTATATTTTATGGGACGCTAATTGCTATGTACATGTGTCCTAAAGAAGGCCAATCACAGATTATCACTAAGATACTGGTTATGTTGTACACAGTATTTACTCCCTTATTAAATCCTTTCATATACAGTTTGAGGAATAAAGATATCAAGGAAGCTCTGAGAAATGTTCTGATTAGAAAAAAGGTTACAATATGAAGGTGAAACTCATTGTGGAGATTTACTAAAACTGGAACAGACAAAATCTAGAGGAGCTGTGCATGGTATCTGTGATGGACTCCCCGTTAACCTAACTAAATACCTCCATCAGTGAACTACTTCCTCGGCGTTGGAACCAGAAGGAATCAGACATTACAGCAGGGGCGACCACAAAAATCAGACAGATCTGATCTCAGAGTTAAACAGACACATTTTATTGTTCAACAACATGGAACTTATTCTCCACACAAACAAACAAAAAGCTTGATTGAATCCCCACGTGATCAGGTGATGGGCTTAATTACATCATTTCCAACAAGGTCCATCCAGCACCATGACACCTTCCTTTGTCCCTGACCATGTCCACTCTAGACATTCAGGCATCGTCTAAGCCTCCCTAGTAACAGCAATACCATCACTGCATTTGAGTGTCCTTTCTGGGAAAAGTTGACAACAGAACATCAAGTGTTCTTCAGAAATTAAAAGAAACCTGGATCCATGTGACAATAACCAACAGTTTCTATCGTCAGCCATTTCAGTTATGGCGAAAACATGAGTGCTAGACAATGATTGGTTGCCAAGCCCAGCTGTTTCAGATTTTGCCTTCTCCAGGTTTAGTAAATTCCCTTTATAGAAACTTAAATTATAATCATTGCAACAATATGTGGGAAAGCAAGTTTTCTTCTTGAAGTAGATAATTAATTAATTTATTTAAATATAGGTACGAATTTACCTTAATATTAATTGATCTTGGGTATGAAAAGATCCTGTATATATCTTTGAAGACCTGCAAACTGGAGAGGAATTTTGGAGCCCATATTTTATATTGACGTTAAAATTTGTATTAAATAAACATTGTTAAATTGGATGTTTACGTTGAATCTTTAATGCTCACTAAAGTGTTTACAAATTTTGAACACGCAGTAAAACAAGCTCTCATTCACCTTTGTTTCTATAAGCATTGTGTGGAAAACAGTTCCCAGCTTTCAACATAATAGGCAAGAATTGTAAAATAGAGAAGGTATAATATCTGCTGCTGTTAAAAATCAGACAACCTGTCACATTGTTTTTAAACATTGTTGAGACACAAGGTATAGAAAATACAAAGTGATTCATTCACCTGCAGATCAAAGTGGGTGAGCTTTGAGTTGCATATGGCCACACCTGTCAAATAAAAAATACATCAAGGGTAGTTCAACAAAGTATTAGTTTGAGGGTGGGTATATTTATGCAACCACATTATTGTAAGTGTTTAATTTTTTCCCCCCTTTTCAAGGTTTCAGTTTGCTTTTAATTGACTTGCACAGATTTTAGGTCACATTAACAATTTCCTGTCTGGGGCAGTCTCTTAATTTTTGCACACACATGGCATAATCTGAACTTTTGGCTAGAAAACATTTTAAAACCACCAAACTATGCTATAAATTCTGAAAGCAGAAGCCCTATAGAATAAAAAGATGCTAATTGCATTTTTTTGTGTCTGACAGTATTTGCACAAATGTTTATCAAACCACTATTTTAAGGATAAAATTTACTAAAATAAAATTTAGTGCAGATAAACAGAATATAACATCCAATTTTTTGGTAAAATATAAAAGACGGGGTCACGTCGGGTAAATAGATACCAAACATGTCAAGCCTTAAAATTGCGTGTACCCGGAAAAATGCGAAAAAACTACAAAACGCAAAATTTCCCATAGGCGATGCTTTAAAAGCTTTTACCGCTCTTTAGATTTGTATTAACTGTGATTGACGCCTGTTTGCATTTGTATGTGGGGGAGGGAGACTTTTAACTTTTTTTGCACTTTTTACATTTTTTTAAGTCACTTTAATTTTTGACTTTTTTTTGTTTCAAACTTTTTATTAGACTTTCTGAATACAATCATCAGGCGGCATACAGTAAAGATTACATCGGTACACAGAGATATAAGACATATACCTGTATTGCAATGTCATGTGATGTTTCTAATTAAATATACACTTTCTGAACCTGTAGACAGCATTACTAAAGAAGAAAGAGAAGGAGCCACTCCCAGAAGGAACTAGGAGATGGAGGAAGGAAGAAGAGTCCCGGGAGTCAGGGGGAGAAAGGATGTAGAGGAATCAAAGAGGAGGCAGTGAGGTTCTAAAGTCAGCAGAGGATGGTCTAATGTCTAGAGAGACGTCAGACTGTCTGGGGACAGAGTAGGATGTGTGGATACTTGTCAATTTTTCGTTTAGGAAAAAGAAGTCCATCCGCCGCTTGACCTCTTCAAATGGCACAAATTGCTTTTTCAAGGCTGAGGCGATCATCTGTTTAGCAGCCAGAAGTTCAAAGATGATCAAGCGGTGTTGATCCCTGGTGAGGTTTGAGGGTTTGAGATGTAAAAGAGCCAACCAGGGTCCCGTGCTATCGATACAGAGAGCACAGTAGTTTAAATACTTTAGTCCAAAATCTGGCAAGCATGGAGCATGACCACCATGTATGGAGAACGTCTCCTCTGGTTTGACAGACCCGAAAGCAGGTGGCCGAGTGTGCCGGGTGGAGATCAGCCAGTCTGGAGGGTACCAGGTACCATCTAGTTAGGGATTTGAAAGCACTCTCCTGTGAGGTCACAGGCCTCTGGTGTCGGGGCTGCCCCAAGGTCTCGCTCCCATTTAGTGACATAGGTGTGTTGTGAGCTGGAGGTTAATGAGTTCAGATTGGAGTAGATTAGCGATACCAGTTTGGGGGCGATAGGGTTATGTCTGCATACCTGTTCGAACATGGTCATGCCAGTCTGGGGTAAAGATGGTGGGAGGAGCGAAGCAGCCCAGTGTCTGAGTTGTAAATACCGGAAATACTCGGACGTTGTGGCTTGCAAGTCATCCTTATAATATTCCCAACTACAGACTGAATCATCCACCAACAGGTAAGTTAGGCCATGTGAGGACCACCAGGCAAATGCAAAGGGGGACTCGAGTCCCGGTGGGAACAACGGGTTACCTAGTATGGTGAGTAATGGCCGATGAGGGGATTCCAGTTTACTGGAGTATCTGTTAGTGTCCCATATTGATAGGGTGTGGGCTAAAAAGGGACCCACCGTAGGAGGTCGGAGTTTGGCGGGTAACCATGGCAGGGAGCGTACGGAGATCTCAGGACAGGATAAGGCCTCTAGTTCTACCGATAGTGGTTCTTGTGAGGTTTGGAAGAGGCTCACTAATGGGGCTATTTGTGCTGCTTGGTAATATTTGTGAAAGTTAGGGAGTCCAAGGCCTCCTTCCCGTTTGTGTATAAACATTGTAGATCTGGAAATTCTGGGTTATTTTGTTCCCCAAACAAAAACCATAACCTTATTTTGAAAAGAGGCTAAAGCACCAAGTGGGATGGGTATAGGCAAAGTGCGGAAGAGGTACAACAGTTTATGGAGGATAGTCATCTTCACCGCCTGGATCTTACCCAGCCAGGCTAGGTTATGTTTTGTCCAGGAGGACAAAAGGTCCTGTAGGTCTTTGAAAACGTGTAGGTAGTTTGCATTAAATAGGGACGTGTGAGCACTGGTTATGTTAATGCCTAAATACATTTAATGGGATGATTGCCATTTAAAAGGGAAGGAATGACTGAGATTAACCACTGAGGAAGGTGGTAGTGTAATATTTAGGGCAAATTACTTTTCTTCATTAACTGCTAAGTTTGAGACCTTGGCAAAAGATTGTAAGATTTTAACTACCTCCGGGCCGGCCGTAGTAAAAAAACGGCCGGCCAGGAGCTCTCTCGATCTGAGCGGGCGTCTCTAGACGTCCGCTCAGACACGCCCCCTTGCGCGCGCCGCCAGGCGCGCGTGCGCGGGAAATGGGCGGAATTAAAAAATGGGCAGCGATGCCCGTTAATATACATGCGATCCGCCGGCTGTAGAGCCGGCCGATCGCATGTATGGGGTGCCGATCGGGTGCCCCCCCCCTCCGCGGTCCCCCCCCGCTGTTGTCCCGCTGATCCCGGGCTCCGCTGTGCCCGGTGCGAGCCCGGGATCAGCATGTCGCCTGTGACACAGGGGATCAGAGAGAGCTCGGTACACGAGCTCCCTCCGGTCCCCTCTCCTCTGCAAGAATGCGGAAGTGTTGTATAATACATCACTTCCGCATTCTTGTGTCACTCTCCAGCTTCAGAAGCTGCAAAGAAGCTGATGGAGCAGATCTCTGCTTCATCAGCTTCTTTTGGGGGGTCCTAGGTGACATTAGGGGTCTTGGAGACCCCTGATGTCTCCATAAAGAGGACCTGTCACATATTTTGCTATCACATAGGGGGGTTTTATTAGCCCCCGTATGTGATAGTGATAAAGTTTAGTGAAAAAAAAAAAAGAAAAAAAAATTAAAGTCCCCCCCCAAAAAATTTTAAGTTACACATAAAAAAGAATTAAAGAAAAATGTTTTTTTTTAAAGTCCCCACCCATACATACACGCATGCAAACATGCGTCGGGGGTGCATACGTGCAAAAAAGACGATTGCTCCCATTACGCCGCACATGTTACATATCGACGAGAACGTCGCAGTGTGAGCAATAAGTCTAGGGCCATCAATCACTGATAACACTAAACTGATGAGCGGTAAAAACGTTTAAAGTGTCGCCTATGGCCAATTTTGGTTGCCGTCGTCTTCTGCGATGTCGCGGGTGCGCGCAATTTTAAAGCTTGACATGTTTAGTGTCTATTTAACCGACGTAACCTGATCTTTTATATTTGACCAAAAAACTGGGTAATAATAAATGTTTCCTAACATAATGTTACAAAAAAACGTTGTTTTTTCAAAATGTTCAGTAATTTTTCCTAATTATAATAAAAAATAAAACCCGTAGTGGTGATTAAATACCACCAAAGGAAAACTCTATCTGTCCCCAAAAAATGGTATAAAATTCATTTCAGTACAGCGTTGCATGACGGAATAAACGTCAGTCAAAGTATCGCAGCGCTGAATACTGAAAAATGGCCTGGCCAGGAAGGGGGTCTAAACACCTGGTCTTGAAGTGGTTAAATAAGTTGGGGAG